TTTTTTTTTTTCGGGCTGTAAACATATGTGTCCCACGAAGCAATTTGATGTAGGGAAGATAAACAAATGGGAAGGATAAAACGAGTAAACGAAATACTCTCTCGTAAAACACGTAAAACTCACAAACTCAATCAATTCTTATTTCATATTCGACTGCCAATAACAAAGAGAAGGAGCCTTTAAATATAACTCCTAAAGCCTTAAACCTAACTTCTTCACAAATCTACTAAATAATAATAATAATAATAATAATAATCTATCCGCATCATTCTCCTCCGATTCGGAAGGCTTCGCCCTCGAAGCCGCACCAAATGTGCCGACATCGGTCGTCCTATGTTTCCCCCAATCGATCATGAAAATTGAATGTCTCCCAACGTCCACTCTAGCCGACCCACACAACATAGGACCGTTACTTCCAACCCAAACACCCCCGGGCATCATAAAATTAAGAAATTCAACACCACCTTCAAGGGGTATGAAACATGGATTAAAATATGACAAAACTTTGTCAGACTCGTGCCCATGTAATTCTCTATACTGCACAATGCAGCCACCAAGGGTAGCATCAAGTTCAACGGTATTAATAGTAATAATTCCAGCTTCATCCTCCGGCCTCGGAGGCTCCTCATCGAAAATCGAAGGACCATCGTACAACGGTCCGTCATGTTGTTCTCCATCCAAATCAGGAATGACCAAGCGAAACGGCCCTCCAATTGACTATATTCGTGATCAAGTCCCGAATCGCGTTGGGCACGATATCCGCCAGCGAAGGCTGCCTCCTCGCGACAACCCATGTTGTTGCGTTGATTGTCGCCATCCATGAAGCCGTTCAGAGGTGGCCGGGGCGCCCCAACATAGTTGCGTCCCCCACAACCGCCTATGTCTCCCCCGCGAAAGTCATGGACTACAGCCCCATCGCGGTTCATTTGCAATTTCGAAACAACCACGTTGTTAAGCGTCAAATGCAAATCCTTGATCCCCGTCGAAAGATCGGCAAACCAATTCGTGAAACGCACGTCCAACTCATGAAATCGGTAGTCAATCTGTTGAAATCGATCGTTGAAGGTTGCATCACGTTGTTTGTTTGCGGTATCTTGTCGTCTCGTCGGCATCGCGATCGTACTGACTGCTGATACCAACTGATGTAGGGAAGATAAACGAATGGGAAGGATAAAACGAGTAAACGAGATACTCTCTCGTAAAACACGTAAAATTCACAAACTCAATCAATTCTTATTTCATATTCAACTGCCAATAACAAAGAGAAGAAGTCTTTAAATAAAACTTCTAAAACCTTAAACCTAACTTGTTCACAAATCTACTAAATAATAATAATAATAATAATAATAATAATAATAATAATAATAATAATAATAATAATAATAATAATAATAATAATAATAATAATATTCATTAATCTATCCGCATCACAATTATTGTGGTAATCATACAATATCGTATCTAAAATATTAATCTTGAATAACAAATGCAAATTTAATTCAACTCATACTATGCAATACATCCATTACATATTATTTAGCCTTATCTCATCTCTGTAAACAAACAAGGCTTGAAATCGTATTAATTTAATCCATTTTCATCCCAGGAAACAAATGTGCCATTTTAAAGACTAAATGTTGTATATATAGTCCACGGTATTAAGTACAAATATATGAAATTTGATAATGTAAATGCTATTTACTTTGTTGCCTCTAGAGATGTCAAAACGGGTTGACAGGATGAATTGACACGTAGCACGTCAAAGCTCACCAATTAGTGGGCCGGGCTACACCGCCATTCTGGCAAGCCTACGAAATGCAAACCAACCCGCCCCTGCCTCAGGCCATGGGTTTGACGCGCCAAGTCAACTAATTTTTTATTTTAATTTTTTTAACAAAAACCTGCTTTAATTTCAGCGAACAAAATCCACAATTTTCGATCGACGAAATATATAATAAAAATTAAAAAATCCGAATACATAGACAATTAACAAATCAAAGAATAAAAAATAAGCATATGAATCAGTGTAGAACCCACGACGAGGATCGAAGGCACACGAAGGTACGTTATCGGTAGCTCGCAAGGGCACACCTCGTTTGAAATGGCAAAGTTGCCGCTTGTCGGTAACCTCGTGACGGAGTGTCTGACAACGCCACACAGCGAGGGCGTATGACGGTAAATGAATGACGTTATTTGTCTTTTTATATTTTATTTAATAATTGACGGACAGCCAGCGGGCTAGCTCGCCCTGTCCCATTGAGCAGGCCTAGAAAATCCTGGTACAACCCGAGAGGCGGACCGGCCAGCGGGCTTAAGCCCATTTCTACAGCTCTAATTTCCCCCTCACGTCTCTTGGTCTTTGCCAAACCTTGTCTTACACTTCTTGATAATTAATTTTCATAATCATCTAAAGAAGTGAATCATTCATCCATCCCAATTCATGAAAAGGTATAATTCAGTCGCATCTCACGTGTCAGGAACAAATAGTTTATTGACCGATTTCTCATTGTGTAAAGATATTCTGGCCCAAAAAGAGAAAAAAAAAATGGAAAAAAGAAAAGAAAAGAAAAGAAAAATATCCTTATACCTTAACCATAGTTAGACCTCGGACTACAGTTTGGGCTGACTACGGTCGTATCCACCGGCAAATGAAGCCAACAATGCAAATGCAACCCAAACTTAATCCACCCAATAAGTCCTACTTTCCACCGGGTCCTCGTCGTCCCTTGCACCTCAAAAGTCAAAGACCCATGCCTCAATGACAGGCTGATGACATCCGCCTCCTCCGGGTTCAAAGGGATCGAGCTCGGCTGGGGCACGAAACTCAGCTCCAAGGTGCTATTCGGGCCCACGTTAAACGGGTCGGCCACCTCCAAGGACGCTAACTTCTGCCCCCGGAGGCTGAGGGTATACTTCATGTCATAGAAATTCGCATGGGCCTTGGCATTGTCGTTTTGGGCCTGGACAATGACCGTGAGCTGGAGAGTGAGCAGTCCTGCCTGGTCGAAGTATATGGTGTTGAGCTGGGCCCGGGAGATTGTGACCTTTGGCACCTTGGGCTTGATCGTGAGGTAGCTTATGAAGATTATGATGCCGGCGAAGATGACGGCCACTGCCAGGATGGCGCATATGATGGCGGCACACCAGATTAAGGGGTTAGTGTGGTGGCGGGGGTCGAAGACTTGCTTTGGCATTGGTGGTGGGGTTAAAGAGCTCTAAGAAGAAAATAATGTTGAGATACATAGGTTTCTTTTTTACGTTTTGGAGGTTAGGGGGATTTCAAAAGGATGAGAAAAGGGTGAACAGTTGATGGGTGCTTGGGTGCAATGGGTGGGGAAGGTTTTGGTATCTTCTTTCCCTAGGTATAAAGCTATCTTCTTTAATATTCTTGATTGTTTTATGTTTTCTCAGTGTGAGTAAAGCTTTCTTAACCTAGGACACAACTAGGAACCTGTAGGGTGGAACTTTTTTCTGCAATTTTATAATATCCGTGTTGACAAATTTGCGAAAACAGGAGAATATGTTGAGGACCTGAGGTTGTAATAATACTACATGCATCCTGCAATAGTTCATCTTGGCAGTGTATGTATGCAGTTGCTTGTGAAACTTAGAATTTTTCGAAAAGAAATATTCGCCAACTACACCCCCTCTCATATTATGTCAAACTACGATCACCAATCATGTTCGTTTTGTTTTTACTATTAATATACGAGATTAATTTTCAGAGTCGCAGTTTAATCTCATACACTCCGCAATCTAAAATACTTCTAATTACTATTCTCCAGCACGAATGAGACAAATCCATGATGAAAATTATGCATGTTTCCAACCTCGCGAGTCTACTAGCATAGGCAGAAAATGTTCGGACATGTCCTGACGAGCGCTATATTTGCCTCAAAAAGCCAAAAAGCTCGTATTGATATAATCATACACTTTCATGATGATTCCTACTGTTCCAGGATTAAGAAAAGTTGAATAAATCATATCTAAGCTAATGTTTGTTACCTATGGAAAAATAACACGAAAGAGTTGTACCGCCAGCGCCCATGCTCTAGCTGAGAGATCCTTCACAGGTGATTCTTACTGCATGTTATGCATCTGTCATCGTGTTCATGAGCAGAAGCTATTGCCGATAACAGTAATTCAAATCCAAAAGGCCACAATAATTCATCCTGCAAATAGAAAAAGATTTGGCTGAGTAAACAAGATTTGGATGCTCCGATGCTCATCTCAGAAAAAAACCATAAATAATGACATCCCATAATAATCTCTGGAATTGGACATAAAAGGGAATGGCGAATCATAATCCTGAAAGGGAACTTTGGAGCTACAATGCAACCATCAGCTGGATTTTCACTACCCAAACTAGTCCATGGTTCAAATAACACCATGCGCGCTGCTAAATATTTAGCTGCATGCAACTTGACTAAGCCATGATAGTTGATACTCTTTGGTTCTAATTCCAACATCCGAAGAGAAATGTTTTTTTCCTATGTCTTGTATGTTCTAGTTCTCATCACTTGCTCACTAGGAGTGGCTATTTGCAACATTTTTTTTTGAGTCCAAATAACATACAACTTTGCCTATCCAGGTAAATTCTCTTAAGAAGAGAAAAAGTGAGTGCCCAATGCAAGAACGGTTAAGCAACAGAGCGAGAGACAGGAGAGGGGGTGGAGGAGATATCAAAAGAAAAGAAAAATAAGATAGAGTTAAGTGAATAACTAAAAGAATATGATAGCTCGATATCACACAAGGTAAAAAATCCACGATTCAAAAGAACCCATTGTACATTAGATTTCATCTATCGCACCTTCTAGAATCTCTATTGGAACAATGTTTCTCATAGATAAGGACCACTTTGGCCAATCCACTGAACAGACAGGGCAGGACAGCGCTGCTTTTGTACCCACATTGAAGCTAAAACTCTTGTTCGAAAATATAACACTTCAAATGGAAAAAAAAGAAACCATACATTTTTTTTT